ATGAACATTTTTCCTCCTTCCACGGGGTGTATGCAGGACATGCCTTTGAGAAATTGTGAGCTGCAGCAAACTCGTCACCTGGAGAATGACAACACCAGCTTGGGGCCACATGCGAGGGCCGGGCCAGGACCGGGGCCTGAGCCGCTGCACCACAAACCTATAAGACCTTGTTTGTCACCAGGACTGCTAGCTTAGATACCCAAGCTCCTTATCAGCTCTAGGATTTTAGTGATAGGTCATAATGAAAACCAAAAGCAAAAATTAAGTCATGTTTTCTTATTCATAACAGCAGAGTAGTCATACTTGTTTGTCACCAGGACTGCTAGCTTAGATACCCAAGCTCCTTATCAGCTCTAGGATTTTAGTGATAGGTCCTAATGAAAACCAAAAGCAAAAATTAAGTCATGTTTTCTTATTCATAACAGCAGAGTAGTCATTTATATTTGGCAATAAGTGGCAGACGTGCATCACCACCATGACACAAGAGGAGCCAGCAGACCCATGCAGCCCTGTGCACACTGCCTTCGCGTCTCAGCTCCAAGGCACTGGCAGCACAGAGTAACTTGCGTTCACGCCTGTCACCTCTGCATGTGTCACCAGGTTGGCTGCATTTAAATGATGATGGTCTGGCTAAATTCCTAGGAGCAAAATGGTAACCACAGACAGTCTTTTCCACTCACCAATGGATAACTCCTGAGCCAATAACAAAGCAGCATTGCTCACAAGACAAATTTAAACAAGGAATCAAAACATAAGAGCTGCAGCACGGGAAACACTAACGATGTGCATAACTCAAACTTTTACAAGACTCTTAAGCATGGGGCCAAGCACTGGGAGAATGACTTGCTGTGAAGCACTATTCCAGCTCTCAAGTGTGGTGGGTGCAGTCTGGTGCTTCGACACAGCCAAGCAAATGAGGAATGGGGGCGGGGGGTTCTGGCGATACTCTGCACTCCACCTTCCCAAGCTGGAGAGAGGTTTGCAGTGCCTACTGCGTGGCCCCAGAACTGTGTCCAAGTTGTGTTCTCCATTTTTTAATTCTTTTCTGAAAATACATTCACCACGGATGTCTGTAAGTTTACAAACATTTAAGTTAGGCATGATCCTAGTAGCTAAGAATGCAGGTGCAGTGACACTCTGGCGTGGCCAGCAGGTTGCTTTCTGATGGCGACCTCCAGCCGTCGTGTGTTAGTTCTGCATCTGACTCCTGCTCCTTTAAGAGTGCCAACCCTTCCCCTGCTGTGGCACAGGTGGCACACAGAACAGTCTAAACACATATCATGTCCAGTTTATGCCATTCAACACATGTCCTGCATGTCTGTAATATGTAAAATACAGGTGAATTTTATTACGTATCTTGACTGCAGAATAAGCAAGATGTGTTGACTTCATTCTTACTGTCCTACTTTTAAAACCACGTGTTCTTCAACTGTGGAAGGTTCTGTCCCATTCCAGCATGCAGGTATCAGCAGGACCACCTAGAACACAAGCAATCAGGTCAGAGTCCAACCCATGCGACAAGTGACAGCACCAAACCTCTCCTCCCCTTCCCGCTGAGAACGAAGGCCCTGAGCAGGAGGGGCAGGCGTGGGGTGGCTGCGACTCCCTCTGGGCGAAGCAGTCCGTCCTGGTGTGTTTGAAGGTGTCTGCAGCAACTGACATGTAGATTTGCGAGAAGACATGAGGATGTGTTGGGAGGATTTTATTCTAATTTTTACTTAACTACACCCTACCTAATTCTAGTATCGCACGCATCTCCTAACTGCTGACAGCAGAGATTCACACCTAGGCTGGTAAGAAGTCCACTGGTGGTGGACTAGCTCGCGCTCCCATGTTGCAGGTCACAGCATCTCAGACACACGGGCTGCCTTCCGTCTCCTCCGGAATGCTCTTCCCATGGCCTGCACATGGTGGCATCATTTTCTCCCTGCCACTCGAGGGCTCTTTCTAGACTCACCCGTCTCCCCTGGATCCACCAGTGCTGGTGCCCAGCTTCTGTTCTTAGGTCTCTACAAAATTCCTGACTGAGGCTGGTTCTTGCCACCACCGTCTCCAGCTTGACCGCCTGGACCCAGCCAACAACGAAATGGCCACGGCCACTCATGCGTGGAGTGTGCACTCCGCTTCAGACATGCACCAACAAGGCCAGGCTCCCAGAGAGAAGAGCCAGGAGCTGAGAAGCCTGTGGTGGCTTTGAGGTCAGCAGGCAGCAGAGAAGAAACTAAACTGAGGTCTCTGGCTCCAAAGTCCACAGCGGCTGGTGCAGGTGCCTCAGCCAGGACAGGCCCCAGAGCTACTGTCTTTCTCCTCTCCTTGAAGTCCATCCATGTCAATGGCACTGGAATCCGAACCCACACAAGACAGAACTCCCCACCCCAAGTGTCAATGGTGACTTAGAACTTCTTTAGAATTTTTCACTTATATCATTCCCTTTTTGTCGCCAGAAAGAGACCAAATGACTCTTCTTTAAGGAAACTGAGCAACCCAAGATAAAAGAACTAAGGATTCTAGGATCAGGACTTCCCCATGAGCCATTACTGAGAAGGCCACAGCTGAGAGCCCACCTGGGCGTGCAGGCTTCCAATCACCTTTTAAAGTCCAATTCCTAAATAAGAGTGGGCCCTCGAGAACCACCAGGCATTTAAGAGAAAAAGTATAAAAAGAAAACACAGACCAAAACAAACAAATAGAAAAAGGAACTTGGAAAAAATAGTGTCTATGAAGGAAGAAAAAACAAAATAAAACAGAACTACTGGCATAATTAATTTCCTCAGAGATGTAAGAGTGAATGTTGCAGCCACGAAACAAAAAAGAGTATGCCTGTAAATAAGGAACAATTCTAGAGTTTATGGAATTTAAAAACAGCACAATTAGAGAATGGGAGGGACAGAAGACAGAGGTGAGGGAATTTCTCAGAAAGGAGAGAAGGACACAGAGGTTCCAGGAGAGGAAACCCAAGATGGCAACAGGACTGTGCACAACACAGTGTCAAACCTAAGATGAGCCACAGCAGAGGGAAGGAATCACCAAAGAAATCCCCAAGGAAAGGTATGGATCTGAGAGGTGTGAATTAGTTTTGTGGTACTGTCCACCTAGGCAGATGAGGCGCACTGGAGTGGGGGTCCATGGGCACAGGTCTTAGGGCTGGGGGCTGGCCTCCCCTACAGGGGCCACTGTGGGAGGCGTCGGGAGGCTGGGCCTTTCCAAGAGCCAGGGCAATGCTGTCCTTGCCATGGGACACAGGCAGACCCAAGAGGTGAAGTCACAGTTAGTAAGCAAAGTGGAGACACGGAAAGCTGAGCAAACATGGCAAAGTCTTGATGGTGTGGGATCTAGAACACTGGTACTGAAGCTGCAGCTCCCGTTACTAAAAAATAACAGAAAGAGCTGCGTCTGCTCTCTGGAGATTATGAGACAGCAGGGAACTCAGTTGATCTAGAACACTGGTACTGAAGCTGCAGCTCCCGTTACTAAAAAAATAACAGAAAGAGCTGCGTCTGCTCTCTGGAGATTATGAGACAGCAGGGAACTCAGTGACATCGTTGCAGCACATCAAAGACAGCTTCCATCGTGGGAACAGGCCCAGCAGAGAGTGCTCACTTTGTAACAAGGTTCCAGCAAACTAGAAGGTGAATGACAGGAAGGAGGTGGAATAAGGAGGCCACACAGGAGGAAGACAAACACCTGCCACTCCATGCTCCACTCCTGGAGATGCCATGGGCAACGACAGAGACCTGAGCACACACGCACGGCACCTGTGCTCAGGCAGGACGATGGACAGCCAGTGGGACACTCTCTACAGCAGCAAAACTGAAGGTCAAAGGTGCACCACGGCAATCACACCGCCGTCTGTTCAGGTCACTAACACTGTAGCATGCTGTGATGAGGGACGTAGGGACCCGACAGAAAGTCCCACTGAGTGCCCAGCACGGTGGGTAAAAACAGACCCACAGTCATGAAATTTCAGACGCGTAGCAACAAAGACAGGCCCTATAAAGACCCAGAGAGAAAATACAGGTTCATACAAAGGAGTGAAAATCAGAAAAGCATTAGATTCCTGCCTGGAACACTGGAAGCCAGTGGCAATGAAGCAAAGTCTTTAAAACTTTAAGAGAAATTATTTCCAACCTAGAATTCTACAACCAGGTAAACTTTCTATTAAATGTTAAGTATGATACAGACATTTTCAAACCTGCAAGGCTCAAAAAATTTATGCCCTTTTCTCTCTTTCTCAGGATAAGGGAATAACTCAAGAAAGAGGATAAAGGATTCAGTACCCCAACCCAAGCAGGAGGGTTGTGAGGAACTCCTGAGATGACCTCAGGTGGCAGCTGATGCAGCCTGCGAGGTGGCCCGGCTGAGGCTGGGGCAGGCCAGGAACAGGGATCACTGCTGAGAAGTTCGAGGGATGGGATCCCTAGTGCATGAATGTGTGTAGATTTATGGGGGAGCATCTGAAATTGAATTATGACAAATTCATGGAAAACTAAACAAACCATAGACAAAACCAAGAGTCCAACTCTAGGGAAAAACAAATGCAATGCAAAAAAGTAAAGGCAGTTATAATTATTTGGCTTAGCTGTGAATAGTTCTTTCATAGAAACAGTAATATAATCTGACCGAAAGTATAACTCTTCGGGAAAATGCAGTGGTAGGGAGAGAGGTGAAAGGGCAAATTCCTTAATTTCCACAGTGAGAGCTCAATAGATAATTCCTAAAACAGAAAATCAAAAACAGCAATACATACACTGTTTAGAAACATAGTGAGTATTACAAATAATCCCCTGAAAAGCTGAAGAATGAGTGGTCCTTTCAGGAAACACTGAGGAAGGGGACTGGCATGCCTGCTGAACGGCCTTATAGAACTACTTAATTCTCTAAACTACATGAAGGTTTAACTTTGACAGAAATTAAACTTCAGGGCCGGCCTGGTGGCGCACTGCTACAGTGCGCCGCTTGGGAGCGCGGCGGCGCTCC